GGCGGCGTCTGCGTCTCGGTGGGATGTTCGCTTGGGTTCCGCTGGAGTGGGTTTGCTGCTCGTGCTGCAGCCGCAGGAGGAAGGCTTCCCTTTTTTTGAACTGCGTGAGTCTGAGCAAACTCCCCATCTACCCTCTTCCCCCTTGCACGCCGCAGTCTATCGGATAAAATCTCACTCTATTTTAAAGTCAGTGCAGAATCAGAGCCGAACTTTACCGGAACATGTTAGTGAGTAAATAGCCTGCAGGTGTCTTTACCAGCTCGCAGCAGGATGCAGCTTATCCCCGTGCCAGGTACCCCGCAGGCAGCTCTCTGCTGGAGTTGTCACCTCTGACACGCGGGGCTGGAGTTGCCCAGGCTTCCTGAGAGCACCGCGTGTGCTGGAGATGAGAGGAATGGGGAGCAGTTTGTTTCGTGTAATATACTTACCCTGGAAACCCAACCTAGATGGTGCTCATTAATCTGATAAAAATTATCGTGGCATCTTTAATGACCACATATTTCTGTTTCGGAAAACAGTTCTTTCTGTGTCAGACTGGCCTCTAAACAGTAGTTGAGTGTTGACTGAGATGGAAGAATGCAACCTATTGATTTATGTAGTACTTCCTTAATGCTTGGGTTTGCTTTTGGGACCATCATTCAAAGGGTGAATGATCCTTACTGAGATCTAAAAAGGTGACCTACCGTGTCACATGTTAACAGCTGACTACCTCAGAAGAAATTATTAAACTGTATTCCATCCAAAATTCTCCTTAAATCAAAAACTTAATAAAATACACATATAGCTTTTCCATTAAATCCTACAAAATTTACAAAATAATTTTGGAGTATTACACTTTTCATATTGATCTGTCAGCTTCAAGCAGCAGATTTTCTAAACTTTTCTTCATGTACTGTATATCGCTGTGATTTTAACTATATTCATCAAATTAAATTTGATTTATTTTATGTCTTCAGAAAATGCAGCACTTTGTTACACAAAGCTACGGGTAAGATCCTCCATCTTACACTCAGTATTCACACCTAATTACTTTATGTGAGTCTTTCCATTGACTTCACTGGGATTTCTCATGAACAAGCGATGCACATTCTAGTGCTTGTGTCCCAAGGACCCAGCTGTGATGGTAAAAGATGTTTTAGTCAGTCCAGGCAAACTAGGGAAAAGCTAATCAGATCTAAATACTCTCCTTTGCCTTACAAACCATCTCCCTAGGAGGGTAAAACAACTAAGCACTATTTAATTATAATGTGGATATCACTAACAAACTCATTTTATACAGTGTACATTGTTAGTGTTTTCGTTATGAGCAAAGAGTATTTGGAACGGAGTGGTTTTAATCCTCAGATTATTGGTTTACACTGGTGCTAGTCAGTGTGACTTTGCAAATAAGTTTCAGAACTATTGTATCCTTTTTTTCTCTTTTTAAAAATCTTTCTTCTTGCAGTTAACAGTCTATTGTGGTTTGTGACTGTAGTTCACAGAGACAAACGTAAGCAGCCCACATATGTATCATATGTCATATAATATATGCTTTAATTTAAGTATCTACTCTTCATGGTAAAAGTGAAGTTTCTCAGTTTTCCCATGCTACTCTTCTGGGAACTTAGTGGAAACTCTGATGTCTAGATCAGATTCAGTACCACAAAGTGCAAATGAGTCTTCCTCAAAAGAACAAGATAATGAAAAGGTCTGTTGTCCAAGTGGCAACTGAAGAAAATCATAACATGGAGATTGATGCTGTCATAAAATAAGTATTCTCACTTCTAGAGCTTGCTGTCTGACCACTGGAAAATATGCAGAGTAAATCATACTATGGGTGTACTGTTCAATAGCACCACCATTAACTTTTATGTGGTGAGTCTCTGAAATTACTGAAATAGTCATCAGCTTCAGCTCATCTGGACCTGATGGCTTACAGAGGTCCTCTCTGACCTAAATAATTTAGTAGTTATTCATTTTACAACACTGATATCAGGAAGCATATGTGTCATTTAGATGAATGGCTTAAAATTAAGTAATAGATCCCTCAATGTTCTTCATTTCCTTAGAGATGTAGAAAATTATATTATGCATGTACTACATATACATGTACTACATACACTCTAAGTCCTTTAGATAATGGTCTATTGCATAAAAGTTCTACCATGATGTTTACACCTCACAATAAAATTTAATGCTGATCTCTTCTTCTTTCTGATATGCTGTATGTTTTTTTGTGTGTGTGCTCATCACTACGTGTGTGCTTATCCTACCTCTGTGCTTGGATAGGCAAGCTGGTCTTGCCCAATCCCTAACACTCTTCTGACAGCTTCCAGAATGTGGTTGTCCTCCTGTATCCTGTAGCACCTTCAGCTATACTCTGCATATGGGTATCATGTACAGTGCTGGGTTTGTGGGAATATTTGTCTGACTTCCAAATGTCATTCACCTCCCCTTCTAGGAACTGCTCTGTAATATATTTTAAGTCTTCCTTTTGATGTTTCAAAATCTAAGTTGGTTTAGTCCACTGTCACATTTGATTTTATTAGTCCAGGATACAACTCATTTGTGGGCTTTTGTAGCCACAGCTGGAATGATTAGGTACTTACGGAGTTTCAGCTGCAGCCCTTGCTATGCAAGGCGGGGTAATCTCTCAATACAAAAAGCACTGGAATATCCTTTTAGTTGCCAAGGGAGGAATACGTGCTGGATGAGGAGGACCATATCGAAGCATAGGAAACAAAGGTTAGCGTCTCCATCACTATGCAGACATGTGAACAGACAAATTGCTATCACATACTAGGATTGTGCCCTTCTGCAGATACAAAACAATGTGTGGCCATGAAGCTTCTTGGACCCATGCAAAGAATTTGTCCCAGTGTTCTTGCACTGGAGTACACAACTTATGATCCTAAATCCACTGCAGATTCAGGTTATTTGTACTGTCTGAACACTGATGTTGCCAAGTCAACAGTTATTTTTATTGTTGTAGTGGCTTGCTGTGCTGCTGTGAAAGCTGTTTGCATTTGGGTTGGCTGTCTCAGAATATACCAGAATTACTAATTGACTTTTAGATAATGAGTTTCCCAGGTTCATCTGATACTGCTGACGGCATGAATGGCCAAAGTTAACCCCCTAAAAAGAGGTAAAGAATGTGTTAACATGTGAACACTGCTCTACTGTTTTGCAGGACATGGTGCAGTGGTGGGTAGATTCATGGTCTCATGTGTACAGAGTGTCTGCCATCAGGGTTGAGCAGCAGGTGAGGAATTTAAAAGCTTAGAGCACCTGCAAAACGGTTTCTTCTGATTGTGGCCACCTGCTCCCACAAAAACCTGCATGGCTAGGGACAGATGTCATATGATGTTGGACTCTATTGGGCTCTGTAGCTATTATTCAGAACTAGAAAATACCTGAGTCAGCAACTGGTCTAGAAAGACAGAGGAAATTATTAATACTCTATGTCCTGATGCCTGTGCCACACAGAGTGATTTTAATAAGTAATGAACTAGTAATGCACATGCTGGCTTGTGGATAGTGAAGTATCTTGGAACATGTTGTAACTGATAGTTAACAGGGCTTTACAGTGCCTGCAGCCCTTAATTTCTGAGATGATGGGATTGAGAATGAAGTATTTTGTGGCTTTGATGTAATAAGAGCTTGTTTGTTTTTCCAAGTAGCTCGCTGTGCTTGCTAACTTGGGGACACAGACAGTGATTTTATTAACTTATATGGATCGCTTGTAGTTCCTCTAACTTCAGTAAAAGCTTCGTATTTGACCAGTTTCCTGTTATCTTAGAAATGGGTAGATAATAAAGAGTGCTGAAAGAACTTCAAAATGGTTTCTCTTCTATGCACTTGTGTTCTTTATAACTTAAAACCACTGAAGTTAGATCTGCTGGCACCTTAATGAAAGTAAATGACTGTCTCTTAACTATGAAACAAGAAAAGCTGAAGGCAGCTTCTGTAGTGGTAATAACTTCTGTCTCTGGTGCTTTTTTTGACTTCCCTTTCACTTCCACCTATGTGGATAATTTGTGTAGGATTCAAGAGAGGGGATACTATTTGCAGATACTAAAGGTGTTGATATTCCATGTAACTGCTGAGAACTTCCACTTCTGTACATTATGCCAGTTTTGGTGGCAGCTAGGAGAGTGGAGAGGTAGGGGTTTGGGGAGTTCATGTCATGATTTAGCCTTGGAAGGGAACTTGTACTGCAAGACGGGGAGGGAGACCACCCAGAGGAGCAGGAAGCATGAGCTGAAACATATTACTACCCTAGTTTTCCAATTTCTTTCTGCTCAGCAAACACAGGTACAATTTTAAGGTAGCTGAGTGAAAAAAGGTGGTCTTTCAGGCCACTGGGAGGGTTTCCTGATTTTCTGTAAAAGGAGTTTTCCTGAAATGGTGTAAGAGATGGAAGGACACTGCCTTCAGCATGAGCCACAAATCATGTCTTCTCCCTTGATATTATGTAAGAGTTATCACATTGAAGAAGACAAATATTAATAACCTGCACCATGCAGTGGAGAAGGTCATTGTTTTATCACCACACTGAATATTCAGTAGTGTCTCTGTCCAAAACAGCTATCAACCCCTTAGGAGGAGAATTCCACAGGAAGATACTTGAAAGCGTAGAAATGGGCTTGTGTTGTTTCACTACTGTCCAACAAAGGAAATAGGTATTTTAAAGATGAAGTCCCAATTTTACTTTTCAGTCTTCTTACACTGTAGTTCATGAAAGTTGAAAATCCATAACGGCACATCAGAAAAATTACCCTAATGCAAGGGTATATGGATAAGCAAGCACAGGTAAAATCAATAAGAAAATACCATGGCAATATTCAGCTCTTGACTAGCAGCCAGTTAGGGAGCAAGGGAAGCCTGAAAAGAACAGAGAGCCTGTCTATTTACTTGCCATCTTCTAGGAGAATCTCCTCCTTTATTCCAAACTTCTTCAAGAAGACAGCTGCAGATATTGCAAGCAGCCCTCACCAGATTGTATCTCTGTGAGCAGCAGTTGTCTGTTCTGTGTTAGGAGCTTCTTCACATGTCCAGCACAGCAGCTACTCCAAAGCTGCTGTGAAAGCCCTGCATGGGACCCTCTTCTTCCTGTCACCATGGGTAGAAGAGTGGAGCAGTGGAAGATGGTGCATCTGTGCTCAACCTGTTAAGGCCCCACAGATTGCCACACCTCCTCTTGCAGTCTTTTTTATTTAGAGGCGTTCAGAATGTTTATCTTACAGTGACTTGGTCTTGGGTCTACCCAGGGGAGTTGGTTCCCGATGGTATAATGCTGAATATTCCTGGTGTGACAGGAATTTGTGTCAAATCTTTGAATCAAAGTGCTTCAAAGATATTCCTCAGGTAGCCACAAAAATACAACTTGTAAGTTTGGTACTTTGGGAAGGTGTTCTCAGCTGGTAGAGCAAGGGTTAGCCAGCAATGTGAAGCTACAGAGGGCTGTGCCAGCAGCCTGGCTTAGCCTGCTGGGAAATGAGGTGTTAAATACCAAATGTGGTGCAGCAACCACCATCCATATTCTCGAGTGAAGACAGGGAACCTCACAGAAGACCCAGAAGATAAACAGAGAACCATGGGAGGACTGTGTGCAGAGCAGCCATGCAACCACAATACAAACTGGTCATGTAAAAATGTGAGCAGCACTGGACACAAATATGTACCTGGAACTGGAACAAAGCACACAGGTTCAGGCTGTCATCACCTCAGGAAAGCAGCACAGAAGATTTCAGTGTGGATGAAAGGGTGAGAGGTTTGGATCGGTGGTATCAGTGTATTTTGTCACATACAGCCTTTGGCTTTGGAAACTTGGGCTTGTTTGGGTTTTTTTTCTTCTTATGGAAAATGGATGCAATTTAATTTTAATTTTTATTTTAGATTATATATAATTTTTTTAAGATGAGGCAACTGAAGTTCTTCTCTGTTAAGCATCGCTTCCTCTAATCACAGTATTTTAGAACACTGTGAGGGTAGGAGTGTGTTCATAATGGATATTTTTTAGCAAGAATTGGATCTTTTTTGGTGGAACTGTTAGTAGATTTATTTTCTGATTATCAGACTGGTAAAGATAATGAGATCTAAGGATCTAACATTTCTGAATAAGAATTAAATACTATTGAACAGTATGTTATTCAGTTGTTCTGTTTCTTTAGTACACCCAGCCTTACTTTTTAAAGGGACTGGTAAAAACCACACAAAACTGAAAATTTGCTGCTTTAATGTATTTCAGAATTCAACAACAGCTAGTGAATGATTATGTAGGCATTTTGATTTATATGATCAGCTAATATGATATTTGCATGCTATATAAACATTTTCCTAACAGAATTCAAACACTTCAAATCACAGCAAACAAACACCTTTTATTTCTGAAGTTGCTTGTGGACAGTTGTGAGCCTAGTGAATTTGAAACTGTGACCCAATATAAAAAATTGCTACAAAGGTATAAAGTATGTTAAGTGACAGAATGTAAGAGGGTTTAGTTTGGTGTGAGGCTGTCCTGAGACACTTCTTTATCACCATTTCTTTTGACATACTGTTACTGTTTCAGCAGCATGTTGTGAAGGCTCTCCTGCCACGTTATCATTGCCTCTCCATTAATGTGCCACCAGGAACAGGCCAAATGGCTTTACTTAGAGTTTAGTGCCATCTTCACAGCTGTTTAGGATGGATTGAAAGGAGGGATGAGTTAGGCCACTGATAACTAGGTAGTAGCCAGATAGCCCACTTAAACAATCTGTTCATGCTGGGTTCCTGTGACAGCCTTGAAAGGAGCATATTTCTCTATGCTCCTTAGCTCTCTGAACATGGTTTTGGTGTTTCTAAAACACTGGTGCTAGAACTGGCATGTATCCTTGAGGTCCATTTGCCTCGTGCTGAAGGGACAGGCCGGAGTGAGAGGAGACCCTCTTGCACAGCCCCGTGTGTGTTGATGTTCTGAGAAGTGAGGAGATGACCTGAAAGAAGATTTTGTTGATAATCTCCATCAGTAACAGCTGTTGCCTCCAGCAAAATTCAGTCCCATTTCCAGTGGTGTGTGCTGTTTCCGGTGTCCATCTGTTTCTGACTAGAGCACTGTAAAAACTCTACTAATAATACCATCCTGGTGTCCATGCTCCTAGGGCTCCAAATATTTAAATTTTTTTGTGGCCATTTTTATAAGCACCAGATATTTACATCTCTTTCCTAGTCTGAATGTCCTTAGATCATATATTGGGTGTTACTGGACAATATTAAACATTGAAGCAAGGCTGGGCATTTTGAGTTCAAAGACTCATTTTATTCTCTGGCATATACACCAGAACATTGTGTTTGCATTTGTGGCTGAGTAGGATACACAAAAGGAAAAATAGATTGATAGTCAGAAAAATACATTAATATGTAATGGTTGTGTGGGACAGAGTGAAGAATGATGTACAAAATACCTTTATTAGAGAGAAAATATTTAATCAGTATTTTCTCTTCTGCCAGTGAATACCTCATAGTGGGAAAGAAAAGAAATTATTTTTCTGAAGTGGAGCACTTAGTTGCCTTCTGTTACATATCTGCTTGTCAGGTTTAGGACCCTGTTAAAATTGTTTTCAACATCTTATTTACTTCACCAAGAATTACTGTTAAAATTTACACTGCTTAAAAAGTTACACTAAGTTTCAGCTAGAACAGTTCTGTGTTGTGAAAGTGGGTAGTTTTATCCATCTCTTGCACACCTAGGGGAGCTCTTGACTAAGCTTCATCGCATCAGCAGTTCCAAGGCTGAATCTAGCTCATGTGGGATGCTGCCTTCACAAATGCAACAATAAAGTTTTGGGTGAAGGTAGAAGGAATCTCCTTCTGAGGAAGCCATCAACAGGGAACACAGCCAGAAAATGAGCCTCTAGCATGTCAGTTTTTGCTTTCTGTTGTGGACAGACTCAGCCATGGCTTTTTATGGTGGATTAACAAGATCCTGATCAGGAATAATCTCTTAGTGTGGGAATTTTGCCTGTCAATTTGTTCTTCTGTATGACAAAACTTTTCTAGAACCTCTGGCAAGCTCCTTGCCAATCCTTAGGAGTCTAGTCCAGTAAACAAGATTCATTCATTCATGTTAGCAACCATGGACTGTCTTCTGAAAAGGAAGAATGAGCTCTCACCAGTTCACATTTATAGTTGCTGTTTCTGAAATATATTTTCTTCCCTCTATTTTAATTCTCCAAGATTTTTTGAAGCAAGAATGCCTCAGACTACAAGAATCATTAAACTTCTGAAAAAAATGCAACAGAGTGCTGAATGGAATAACAAAAATATATTTGTGTCCCACTCAAACCCATTTATGCTGGCAGGTTGACTGAAACAAAGTTCCTTTTCTTGCTTTAAAAATACTTGATTACTATGAATGGTTGTAGATGTTGACTATGAACTTCAACTAACAATACTTATAAATGCTGTGCAGGGACTGCCAACTGCTTTAGTATGTAGATCTTATTTCTTGAGGTTTATAGGTATTATTCCATGACTATTCTGCATATTTGTATGTGATGGAAGCAAAGCAATGCTGCTGGGTGGTTGACAAGGCTAAGTATATCTTTTTATGTAGTTGAAGAGCTTATCCCCTTCTCTCCTCTGTTGCAGTTTCACATCCTTGAATGTCCCTCTGTTTCTTGAAGATGAAGAAAATGATTGCATGCTTCTTTCTGCTATTTGCACACTCTCTGCTTTCCACTGTCATGGCAAAAGATCTCCATGGGAGACGTTTCACTCGAAGAAGGGATGTTATCACACAATCTCTACTAGGTAAGTTACACACAAAAAAACCCCAAACTCTGCTACCAAAAGCTATCTCAAATACAAATGATAAAAGGCATAAGCAGTTGGCCAAACCTTGACTGAATTAGTTTATAATAAAAAGGAGCTTTTCATTTGCCATCAGGAATATGATAAAATTTGTTGACCAATTAGCAGCTGTTGAAAGAAGGTGTTTACTTTTGGGGTACTAGATTTACTTTATGTAAGTGGTATGAAATAAATATTTGCTACAGGACTGTTGGCCTATTAAAAAAAAAACCCAACGTATTTTCAGTGTTTAGAGAAAATACATGTTGGTTCATGGAGGTTCTGTCAAATGTGCCTTTTACCATGGCAGAAAGTTTTAGCTCTCTATATGAATGTGATGTGTGTAAAGGTGATTGAATGGAAATCTGTGGCTATTGAAATTAGGCTTGTCGTTACATTGCTAATTACATGCTCATACCTTCATTTTGTCAGATTTATTTTATTTATAATGAGCAGCACATTTTTCGTCTTTTGCCAAAATTCTGAAGACAGAATCTATCAGTTTTAGCTTGTGGCTGCCATATTTTGAAATATAAGATTCATCTCTCTCTTGTTGATCATCACCTATATGTTATCAAGCAGTCTGCTGGTCAGCTTTTTCATCTCCTAACAGTTTGCAACTTAGAATAACTTTCTTTTGTTCTTTGTTTAAAATAATCATCAGATTATGAAAACACAGCATGGATGAGGTCTGAACACAGCCTATCATTAGGGATTAATGATTCCCATCAACAGTAGATCTAATCAGATACCTCTCTCCAGCCATTGGGAGATGTCTCTCCATAAAGGTGGCCTAACCTAGGTGAACATGAGGAATGTGAAATGTTCTGCAGAAGATAATACTGGGAAGAAAGAAGAGGAAAGCAAGCCAGAACTTGGGAGAATGGGTGACAGAGCTTGGGAGCACCAAGTTTTATCAGTGAAACTCTTCTCCAGACAAAATGTAGTCCTTTAAATCATGTAAAATTCCACAAAGTACCATTCATAATCTGTTAACTTTAAAATATTGGTTTTCAATTCCTATAGCACAAATTTAAAACAAATGACAACAGATTTCCATTTCTTATTCATCTTTCTCAAAACTAATAGATGCAGTCTTGAAACACTTGGGGTTCTGCAACTGCTGGTTGGAAGCCACAAGTCTGGAGATTCAGCTGACCAAAAAGGTGGATATAGAACAGCAAAGATAAATACCCACACTCACACCTTGCTTAATAAGAATCTAAAACTTTCTAAATGTGATTATATAGCAGCTCTTCCTGAATATTTGATGGTTCCCAGCAAATACCCTGAGCTTATTACTTCAAGAAATAAACTGCCCACCTCTCTAGAAATGAGTGCAAAGGGAAGATGTTATGTGAAGAAAGTGAAAGTGTCCCATTTCTCAGCTTGCCTTTTTTCCCTGTGATTTTTAAATTGATTTTATAGCCTCTTTTTCATATTTTAAATAGTGGAAAATATATGAAAAGGATTACCACTCAATATAAATCAAAATGTATAGATTAAATTATTTATTTCTCCTTTCAAAAGTCAAGACATTCCTGGTCCCTGCATTTGGAAACTTCTGGATCCCTACCCAGTTTGGCATGTGAAGGATGCAAACAGTTCTGGCAGCTGTGGCTAAAAGAACCTTTTCAAGACATTAAATGATGCAAGAAACTTTGGACATTCTCTGATCCAGCCCATAAAAGTACGTGGCAGTTTGGAGTCAGACCCTTGGGCCTTGGATTCTGTTTCAATAAATTAGGTCACCTACTTCAGATTTAGCCATGTGTAGAAACAGGGGCATGGTAAAAATGTTCTTCTCTGCGAAGAACAGAATATGTAAAATGCATGCCACTCTGCTGGAAAGCTGTAGTGTTCCTTAAATGACATGAAAAAAAATGGGGCCAAACCATGATCTCAGTGACATCAAGTCAGTAGACTTAATAAAATCACTCCAGAATTCCAGCAATTTAGACGGGATTAGAAGTTGTCTCATTCTATATAATATGCATTTTATAAGTACTAGTGGTGATGACAATTGCTGCTGTAGTGAAAAGACTTGGTTGGCAGGCAAAAGGGAGCAATATAGCTGCAAAGAACCAACAGGTACCTGGAAAAGTAATGAAAGTTTAGTTTGGGGGTTGAGGGTTTTTTTGGTAGATGTCTCTTTTTTTTCAGTCTAAAAAGTTTATAGAGCTAAAATGAAGGATTATGCTATGTAAGTATAGTAGTATTAAAATAATTGTATTCCTTTTTTCTTCATTTCACCAATTTTTAAAACAAAAGTGTACTGCTGCTCTAACTATTTGCTGGTAAAATACCAGTACTGTCCATGGGCAGAAGTAAAAGTCCTTGCTCCAGGAAGCCGACAGGATAAATAAGCAAAATGGAATGGATGAAAAATCCAGCTTTAGAAGGATTTAATTTTTCATCAACCATGCTTCTTAGATTTTTTAATTGTTGAGTTAGGACTAATAGCCTATACATTTTAACATATGCTTCAGAAAGAATGAAAAACTGTGTGAAAAGACATATTTTTTGCTTATCCTCAGTCTTGCAACTAAATCTCAGCGTGTGTTGTTTTAATTTGGCAGATCTTTGCCTTGCTTGTTGTTGTATAAAACTATTTTTGCTATAGCTAACAATTTCCATTAAAGATCTGAAATATTCTACACAAAGATCGATTGAACATCAATTTTTTGGAAGTCTCTCTATGTGGCCCTTGAAAACCAAACTGCTCTGCAGGTTTTTCTTTCTTTAAACATTGAATCAGACTTCCAAGTATTACAAATTTGTCAATTGTGACAAATTAATTGATTTTTTAACATTTTCTTAAATCTTTCTTGCAGCATATTAGATATTCATATTAGAAAATATAAACATATTTCAAGTAGTAAAAGAATTTGTATGAGATTGCTGGAAGATAATGTTTTAAGTAGGTTTATGGTAATGTATGTTTTAAAGGATTATTTCCATAGTTGTGTAAGATCTTGTGGAACAACAGAAAGAAATTGGATGGTCCATTTGTCTTTCCTATAGCAGAGGGCAGTCACCTCTACCCTTACATGAACTAACTTTTGCCTTCTCTTTCCCCTTATCAGTAATTTTATCCCAAGTTTGGATCTTTGACTTTATCCTGATTCGTTAAAGGAAATTAATTTTTTGTTTTAGAATCTTCTCTTTTGAAGGCTTTGAGAGAGCTCTGAGGAGTTTTTACCTAGTTCTCAGACAAGACCATTGTTCCTGTTGAGCGCAGCTGCTTTGTTAGATTACACAGAGATGGCTGAAAACACAGTTTGTCAGCTTAGCATTGCTTTTTGGATACTAAAGAAAAGCAGTAATACACTTGCTACACTGTTAAAAGGATAAAATCATTTAAGCTAGGTTAGCTGCTTGCCTTCAGATACAATGAAATGGACTTCTGTGCCTAAACAGACTGAGGAAGAGCTGAGTCAGTTGTCCACAGTGGCAATTTCCATACTGTGTTTTCAAAGCCACAGTCAGAAGTCCACAGCACAGCAGGTTCCATGTTCGGAAGCAACGTGTATTCAGCGCTGGCAAGATGGAGCACTTTTTTGATGTTTAATGTTATGGGCTTTTTTGCTGAAGCAGATTTGGGACTTAGGATCTACTGCGTCTTAATCATTAATTATAAAACAAGCAAAGCAAAATTTCAGCATTGTGGAAAAAAACACAAGTTTTTGAGTTTGGGTTTTTTCTTGATGAACTCTGTTCTTGTATTTCATTTCACAGGGACATGTTTCTTTGGAGGGGTTTGTAATGGATGCATGGAAATAATTGAATAAGCAGTAGAATACTATTCTAAGCAATAACATTCTTTCTGTTCTTTAGCAATATAAAACCTGTTTTTGAAAATAGCTATTTATGTGAGGAGAAAAGCTAATTTAAGGGGTATTTCTTTAGATACTATATGATACCAGAAGAAACTACAAGAGATTAACTGACACTGCACAAAATTAAAACAGGGGGGGAAGAAGCCAAGAAAGATATGTACTTGGCTCTTGTTCAGTGGAAGTTGCTGCTTAACACGAATATCCCTGTCTGTGTTAAATTATATTTTGCAAATATACAGTGATTTATCTCTTGGTTGTATGTATGTTATTCCTCTAATAATATGAAGGGAAGTAAAATGAAGTACATAGAGTGCTCACTAAATTTGTAAATCACTTGCTGCAGTCACTTAAAATTATTCCAAGCATTCTTATATTGAACCCAGTTCTTAAACTTGAGTGTATGTATCTTCATCAGTTTAACCATTTTTAGTTATTTTAGCAGCAAATCAGAGGGGAAAATACATAACAAAAGTGAGTCCAACCCCTGATGCTTCTGTGGAGTGCAGATAAGATTCTTGTTTAGTTTTGGTTGAATTTGTTGTACATTTATGTACTAAGAGCTGGCCAGAGATCTCTAAATCCTACTACTGTAGACTGTTGACCCAACATGGGTTGATAACTGCTGTAAGAAACTCATTCACAGCCTCAACATTTGTGTGTATGTGTTATTTCTTCGCATAAATGCAGCCCTGCCAAGTTTTTTGTCCTCAGACATATTAAGTAGAATTGTTGTAACTGAAGTCTGTATTGCAATTAAAGTCAGAATTGTGTCCCAATAAGTACATAATGTGTTTGACATTCTATACTGGTGTAATACTGGGGGAGATGAAAACTATTCAAGGCAGTAGGTAAAGGAAGGAAGAAGTTGTCAATTACATATTTTGAATTGTAAAAGTATAAGCACAATCCTAACCCAACTTTTATAAGGATACAATATATCAGTTCTATAATGAAACATAAAATTGCCATATAGATAGAAACCTGTTCTATTTGGAAAGAGAGCAAACAAAGCATTTTACAGTCTGTGAAATCGCTTGTTTCTGCCTTCTGAGATGTGCAGGTGTGTATTACAACCTTTATGCCTCAAGACAGTATTAACAATGGTGTGTTTGGCTTCCCAGT